TGAATGGAGTGAGGTAACCCAGTGGGTCGTATACTCTGGCCAAGGTTTTCAGTACTGTAACTTTGGTAGCCGGCTTTCCGGCAGCAAACATAGCTGTGTGCTCAGTGCCCAGGATAAGGTGATCGCCTAACGTTCCCAGAGAACACCTAAAACTTTCATCATTAGATCGTCTCCAGCGTCATTTTCGATAGCACAGCTGTCACGCAAGAATCTTTCTTTCAACTCGTCGCAATTTGAGGCCCACTTGCGAATTTCCATGCTTGCCTCTTAAAATATTTGTTTCGTTTCTTCATATAACTTCATCGCCGCCTGCATGCTGGGTAGCCCGATGATAAGATCATCTACATAGAACGTGTGCTCCAATAAGGCTATAATTTTTGGATAGTTCTGCTGACAAGATAACAGGCAATGACGAATTGTAGTCGCCAAAAGAAACAGGCTTGATGCAGCTCCAAACGGTACTCTGGTCATCCTCCAAGTTGTAATCGGTGGCATGGGCTCTTCCTTAGTTGGCCGTCATTAAAGCGATTTTCGGGCCGAATCAACAGCTGCAGGTATGCCTTCTTTATGTCGACTGAAAGAACGACAGGGTGGCAGCGAAACTTAAGCAGCAGCTGGACAATGTCCACGCCGAGTTTGATGCCCTTCGATAGGACATCGTTGAGGCAGCAACGACCAGCTTCATGTGATGATGCATCAAACACCACTCGAAGCTTCGTTGTGATGGCGTCCCGACGAACTACTGCGTGATGAGGCATATAGTATACATAATCTCCGACTGGCTGCTCTTCTTGCACCTTCTCAGCATGTCCGCCATCGAAATATGCGGTAATAGCCAGGTCGAATTTCTCTAGTAACGTTGGCTGCTCTCGGAAACGGTTGATTTGACGTTATAGTCGCTGTTCTGCCAGTCAGCGATTACTGTTTCTGGCTGGTAGTCCCGGCTGTTCCATGATAAGCGGCACCTGATAACGTCTACCTTGCTTCGTTATGTTGCGCTCAAATGCGGAGATGTGGGCATCGATCTCCAACGATTGTGAATAGCTTCCATTGATTCTGTTGGCATCAAGAAGCCACATCGACGATACGTCTATGTCTGGTGGAGAAGAATTTCGGCTCGATATTAACAGTGCGCTAGACGGGTACTGGATGTCCGACGATAAGGGTCCTTGTACCATGCATCCAAAGGTTGTTTCAATCGCTGTTAGCGTCTCGTTGATGCGGTCAATCTTGCCGGTGGTCACCTTCTAACAGGTGTCAGATCCTATCAGCATGGTGATGCCGCCTTCTTGCCACGTATTCGATTGACATGCGTCAGCCACATGGTACTCTTTTTCGAGGAGCGTCTGCAAGATATGGTGCTCTAGCGGTGTACTCGTTATGGACCAGATCTCTAGAATTGTCAAAGCTTCTGACTCCACTTCAGCATCCCAAAAACAACTGCGCAGCCATACAGAGACACGGTCGATGCAGAGTCGCTTCTGAGCCTTGGAGCTTCAAATGTCATTATTGAAAGTTCTTCCCTTACAATCACAGAACACTGAAGGATTCTGGCTGCGTCTGCGCGAATATAGCTGCGCTGGCTATCCCTGTCCAACAGAACCCGAACAAGGAGGCGTTGATTTTCGGACCTTGCTCATATGTGCCCCGTCTGCAATAGTACAGCCGTACATCTGATCTGCGTGCTTTGGCCGGTTGTAAGGGTTCAAAGCCTTTGCGAAGGGGGTTTTCCCAATGCAACTGATTCCGAAAGCAGGCACTGGGTCCTGGACGACTGGTCTGGACAGGTCGCACAGAATGGTCAGGTGGCGGCGACGGCAGGAGCCCCACATGAGACTGATGGCCTTTTTTGCATGCCCTTGCGATGTGGTTGCAAGTACTGCAGCGAAAACAGCAGTTGTTATTCCGTAGCCTTACTCGCTTTTCCTCTGCTGACATATTCGCAGTGCAGGACATAATGCTGTGCTCTTGGCAGTTGCAAAGTGGGCAGACTTGATTGATCGATGCAGTGGAACTGGTAAGAGCTGCAGCTGATGGAATGAATTCCGTGCTGCCTGGGCCTTCTGTCGCCATGCTGTCTTCACCTTCGTAGAAGCGGCGACGTGGTTGCAGGCGACCTTCTTCCCGCACTTTTACTTGGATACGAAAAAATGTCAAAAGGTCCTTTGCTCGCCGCAGTCTGTGTTCGAAAGTCTCCGTCCCACTATTGGCGCCATCATTCTCTTTCATCCTTTGTCGGTACATGATAGCCAGATCCTCTGGCAAGCAGTGCATCATGACCCGATTCAGTACCACAATGTATTGATCCGGGGACACGCCGAGGCCTTCTAAAGCGCTCACTTAGAACAGCAAATTGTCGTGAAGTGTGGGAAGTTTAGCAACTTCTGATGAGCTCTTCACAGGAGTCAACGCCAAAAGATGATCCAAGTGCTCATTGATGAGGAGATCTCACTGTCCGAACCGATCTGTGAGCGTTTTAATAGCGATGTCCTAATACTGCTTGGCTAACCGGATTTTTTCGATTGACCATTTAGTGCTACCACTTAAGTACGTAAGCAAATACTTGACTTTTTCGATGCATGGTAGGTCGGGGTTTTGGTGGATCGTGGCCTCATAATGATCTCAAAAGGCCTGCTAGTTGCGTAGGTTGATGGCGTAGCTGGCCTTGTCGCTATAATCCTGCGCCGTTTTGAATTCACGGTCAATATCATCTTCACCTGCTAGCGGAAGACTTGCGTCGCCCAGTCTCGACAATGTAGGCTTCTTGTCCTTGAGATAGTCAAGGTGTACGTGAACTTCCGAGAGGTCAGCATCCGTTTGCTGCAGAAGATCCGTGAGCTAGGTTAGGGGTCGCGTGACGCCAGCCCTGAGTGCATCTTGCTTCCTCCGCAGCTGGTCCGAGTTCGCCATGGCCGTGACGTGAAGGAGTCTCTAGAGGGGCAGACCCGGGTTTCGCGGCACCAAATGTAGAGAAAAGGACGACCCGCCGTGCCCATTGCGAAACCCACTTGTCAACCTCTTATTTATTCCGAATGCACTGCTCTAATCTTCATCATGATATCACCACTCCTCGTCTTCTTCATAGTTTTCAGCACCTCTTTATGACTCCTTCCATCAAAAAGCAAGAGGAGCACTGGACTAAAACTTTACCGGTGTTGCCCTAAAATCGTCAAAAGTCAAGAAGGATGCTCTGAAACTCATGGAATAACTTCACCTCGAGACCCTAGTGAAGTTGGCGAAAAAGAGCAAAGGTGATGATCTCCGTGTTTTTTGCACTTAAGACGCATAAGCCCGAGCGCCCTATGAGAACTATTGTTACTGAGGAAGGTTCGTGGTAGAAACTTGTCAGTAGGTTTCTGCAAGGCTCCCTAAAAGCTCTTGTTCCTGATTATCCGTGTGGCATTGATAGCTCGAGTGTGCTGGTTGAGGCTCTGAGGGCAGAAGAGGTGGTAGCCAACACAGCTTTTCCTGTTGACATTGCAGAGTTGTATTATTCGGTACCCCATAACGAACTGTTCTCAGTTCTGCGTGAGGCCATCGAATCACATGGCGAGACTTGTTTTCAAGATGCATGTGGCCTTGCAACTGAGAGCTTTATTGAACTTTTAAACTTTTATTTGTTGATGGCTTTTGTCACTTTCGAAGGCAAATTCTTTTTCAGGAAAATGGTATATGCATAGGGTCCTGTGTTACTCCGGTGCTTTGCAGTATATTTTTAGCTAATTTTGACAAACTTTTGTGCCCAAGCCTCGTTGACCACCGGGCAGCCCGTATATTTACATATGTTCATGATCTTATTATATTTCTTAGTATTGGGGGGAGTTATTGTGTTTTAGACATCATTGGTAACATCATCTCAGTATATTAAGCATGTTCTTGACATTTCTGTTTCACTCATAAAGTTCTGCAGGAAAATTCTATTAGATTTCTAGACCTCACACTCACTTTTCATCTTCATGTTCACCTGTGCTGCAAGTAAAGTCCAAAGACTAGAAAGAATCTTTTGCCCTTTGATTCCTCTCACTTCAAGCTGGTGAAAAGAGGTATCATCAATCTTTGTCTGACAAATGCTGTTACTAAGAGTTGCATTCAAAAAATGCAAGATAGCATGACTTGGCAGCAAAAGAGGCTATTGTTGGCAGGCCACCCGAAGTCGTTAATAGCCTCTGTCGCTGAACATGGCTTTAAGCCCCTTAACGTAATACACAGAAGGGATGGTGGTGTTGGAGAACACAGAAAGATTGAGGTGTTCGAGAAAAGAAAAACTTTGTGGTTATTCCGTATGTCCATGGCATTTCACAGATTGAAAAAGATTGCAGCTAAGATCCATGTCCAACTGCTCTGTTCTGCACCCAGCAACCTCATAGGTCTATGCAAGAGGGTTGCGCAGCTCTGCACGACAAGAATGTGAAGAAATACTGCGCATGTAATACATGTGTGGTGTATGGCATCCTGTTAAGTTGCGAGAGGTTTTACGTTAAACAATCTGGTCGATGTGTCAATGTTTGACAGAGAGAGCATGAAAATCTTCTACCCTCAAGCACCAGTGGTAACTTGCCATTGCACTGCAAGTAGTGTTGTTGTATGCCTTTCTTTGATTAGGTGACAATTTCAGATAAGGCTACGACGCAGCATGAACGAGAAATTATTAAGATATTCCATATCTAGAATACGGTTCTGACAAATGTGTTAGTGCAGCCTCAGTTTATCTCACTAGGAAAGAATGTTTGTTTCTAGCACAGAAGTAATTTGCTCAGATCAGCTTGCTTGGTTTTTCAGTTTTTTTATATGCATAAGCTGTACAAACTTGGGAGGAAGGTTTTTTAGAAGTAAACGTCAGTTGTTAGTGCCACGTCTCTGTTTCTCTTTCTACTGCTCTGCTTTATCCGATATTGATGTTTTGTGGCTTTTGTAGCTTACTAAATATGTACCAACTTGCCCAACAAACAACTCTCCTGATAAAAACATGCATAGAGCTATAATGCTCAAAGCAAACGTACTCTCCATAGTGTCCTTGTACTTGGGACTTCATGTACTCCAACGGCCAGACAATCCACCAGGCGGCGGTTGCTGCCAGACCCGAGATCAGGAATGGTCCCAGCAAGGGCCGCTGGAAGTACTCATTGAAGTTACGACGTCCAGAGTCCAGAAAGATGAAATAGGACGTCATGAGTCCCACCGTTCGCATCCATGTCACACCAAATCCCTGCAAGAGTGCACACACTATCCTTAAAAAAAAGTCCAAGGAGCCACGTCAACGCATAAAAGATCAGCCATCATAATAAATGTATGCCTCCTGAATTTTCTTTTATACACATGCGGGCACTGACACCTCTGAGATAAGTTTCCACAACCCTGCCATTGTCACATGAAGAAATGTGTCATTTGCATAGATGCCATCACGTGACTAAGGGTGCTGTGATGACAAATGCTAAACAGCTTTTCCAAAACCTCATGACAATTGAGTTACTGAAGTAGTAACACGTGTAGGTTTTCAACAAAAATCAATGTAAGAATTTCATGTTCCAAGCATGACACTGCAGCCAGTTTGGGAAGGATGCCTAATCTGACAACTAGAAAGTGTACCAAAAAAACTATGGACCGTTTCCCCGAAGGAAACCCTGATGGGATGCAAAGCAGCAGCAGTGCGCACAGCACTGACCCGGTTGAAACGACCGTTGATGCGGATGCTGGAAAAACGGTTTAAAGCAAAACTCGGTGTAGCATTTACTCTAGCAAACATTTGTTTGAAACGCAAAAACATGGGAGGTGGGGCGCCTTAAACGCTTGCACTTGGCTTCCTTGGCTCGCGTCTCGTCAGTGCTACCCGTGCGGCGTCTGTATTCTCAAACGCGACCGGTCACGTTTGTCGATTGCCTTGTCGATGCTGACGTTGCCATTCGCGAAGGCAATTGGCTTTCCTAACCTTCGTAACGCCGGAGACAGCTGTGAAAGGTACGCGCACAAGAGTGGAAAGCATGCCGCGATGGCATCTCGCCCGTTGGTGCGATCACGCGGCGCACTGTCCACATTGTCGGCGCCTCGAGATTCTCGAGGCACGCGCAACGTGCACACCGGCCGACTCGCGGCTTCTTTTCACCGACAGATGGAAAGAGGTGGTGCGGATGAGATGATGCCCATGTGAGAAGTTAGCTCGAGCGTTGCGAGCAGTGAAGAGGGTGAAGCGAGAGAGAAATGACACGTGGCGAGCGCGCGGCAGGCGAGAGAGAAAGACGTCACAGCGCAATGCTAGGAGGGCGTGAGCTACTTGGCACCGCTCCAACACCTGCGGCGAGGGGAGCACTGCCGACGAATAGCTAGCATTACACAGGCTAATCAAAGAGATACTTCGCATCTAAATCTGACAATTGCCGCTAATAAGACACAGAAACACACACCTTAGCTGCCTGTGGAGCGCGTTTCTGTGTCTCGATTTTTATGAAGCACCATGCTCCTTAGGAAGTAAGTTCTGCAAATTATCACTGAAACACTCCACGCGATTCCAAATTATTATTGGTGTCTGCAGAGACTGATCAGTTTCATGTACAGTTCACACAAAGCAGTTGTGTGTCATACACCAATGGAATTTAATGGAGGTTGGCATTCCTCTGATTAATTCAGAAAATCATCACACACAAATGTCCCAACTTTTTTCTCCTTGTCTGTGCAGCAACAGTGTAGTGACAAACTCTTCTTCATCCCTTGATCACTTTTAGTCAGGCGAAACGAAAAAAAAAATGGCAGTGGTTTAGCTCAGCTATGCCAGGATATATGTAGCGTTAGCAAAGGTTCAGCTGATTATTCTTAGCTTTCCAGATATCATGCTTACAGCTGTTCCAATGAAAGACACACGGTATAAGTATTATGTGGCACATGTATATTTATTTTGCCGAGCAACTACTTCGGGATCCGATGAGTTAAGCTTCTCCGCTCTACTGCATCGTGGAGCAGCATTTGCACTCTCCTTCTCCATGGCTATACCACAGTGGCAAACGCCAGTCAGAGGCACTATCAAGAGGCTCCAGCACAGTGTCAGATGGCGACTGCACAGGGAAGGCGCGCGCGTCGGCGTCCATATGTCTACCAAGGCTATGACGGCACTCCTCTGGAAGGCGCGCACGGCGGCGGCGGCGTGTCGCACGCGGCCGCAACTGAGTGCAAGAGAGGTGCCGGCTCTGGTGCGTGACACCACTGCTGATCTGCGCAGCGCATCAAATTGTGCGCACAATGGCGGCGAGCCGGGCGCGGCGGTGGCGGAGTATCATTGCGCATGCGCAGACCAGTGCCACGCGAAATTGGCTCAGCGAGGCCAGTGTAGCTAATGCTACAAGTACATCACTGCATCTACACAAAGAGAATGATGATGAGTGGGCGATGAGTGGGATTGTTCTGTGTCACTGTAAATCACCCATGACACTGCTCACTTACGCATGTAAATGAGTGACAATGCAGTGTAAATAAACCTCTACCGGGGCAACATCACTGTATGGCGTCACTGCCGCACATGCAAGGTAGCGGTTGGCAAAACACCCCCCTGGTAGCTGAGCGAGGTACAGTTGTGCAGTGCTCTGGACAAGTTGTTTCTCACTCCTTAGGGGCAAAGTTCCTTATAGTCTAACCTTGTGACTAGTGACGTGTAACCGAGGGAAGAGTCAAGAAAGAAAAGGAGGCAAAAGAAATAGATGACCAATTCTCGTCTCATTTCCTAGATGGCATATCTCTGCCACTACTCTTTGATTGGCTGCTGAGTGCGCTTTGCCCACGAGCGCCCCTCTCGGTCTCCTGGATAGTCACTGTACGTGGCGGATCATTGGTGCAGCATGAGCGGCCCAGATTGGCGGGCGCGTTGAAAACGCTTGCTCGCGTCTCGCGTCTTTCTTCTTTGGCTCGCGTCTCGTCAGTGTTACCTGCGTGCCGCCCGCATTCTCGAACGCGATCGGACGCATGGATGCATGCAAGGACGGACGGACACACGGACTGATGGACGCTTCGCACCTACTCATGATTGTTCACTCTGTGGATATGCTGTGATATTTTTTTAAAGCCTAAATTTCATCTTACCAGTCGCAACATTAGCTGTGGCATGTGCCAAAAAACATGTAGTTGTGTGGTTAACTGCTTGATGAAATATTTGCCACGCTGGCTGGCCGTTTATCTCGGAGATGTGAACACATGTGGCGGTGTTATGTGTTGAAAGGCGTCGACAATATTGGTTCACCTTTATGGACGGTGAAGCTGAGAATATTGTGCATGGTGTGTGCAGTATGAATAACAATGAGTCTTGTTTGCGAAAACGTTCACACTCATTGTGGGCTAATGTCGGCAAGCAGTTGTTGACAGAACTTCTTGGTTTGAGAGCAAAACAGGGTTACTAAATGACACAAGCTTAAAACAGCCAAATTAAAATTCGTATCAGCCCAAACAGTCAAATGCGTGATTTCGAAGTAGCCCAAAAAATGCCTCATATTATTTGTTCCTTAAGGATTTTTCTCACGCCTATGAAATTACTTTTCAGCAGAAATTTCTGCCTGTTTTTTCGGTGAGGGAAGGGCACTGACCGCTCAAATGAAAGCCGTTTTTGCTTTCGTGCTTTTTTTTTACTGCCGTACGAGTATAAGTTGTACAGCGTAATATGTTTTTTGTTAAGACATTTGAAATGACGGTATGGTTACTGTAATACACAAAAAATTTTTATTGTCACTTGACAACACAAAAACTCCCATGAAAAATGAAGAAAATATGAAAGCTTATTTACCACATTGCAAGAAATGAGGCATAGAAAGGCTCCGAGTATACTGGTGTAAAAGTTGAAGGAGCACTGACATCAAATTTCAAGATTGAGATGTGCCCATCATTCAATCGCTTGGTATGCATAGGTCTTCTTGGCCGAACGTGAACGACATCCGTCGCGTGGAAATCATTTTAATTTTATGTCAAACAGCATAGAAAAGCTAAGGAGAAAGAATGGAAAATTGACTGCCCTGAGACATCGATACTAGCACTATGTGTTCGGTGTGATACATTCTACAAATACCATCCTGAGTGACGATGCCTTAGTAGCGATGACATGTATGATCCGAGTCCTCTTATCATGGCGCCGACTGGCTCTGAAGCGCAGAAACGCACTCACTCATCACGTCTAATCTTCGTCGCATTGGTTTGAATGATTTGGTGAAATCATCAAAATAAAAACCACCTTTAAAAGAATGGCAAAAGAAAAGAGCATGATTAAACGTGTGCTTGTCGGTCAGCATGTCGGAGAAGTGTTGTGAGTTACAGGTGAGTTGCAGTCGTCTAGTTCGAAGCACGGAAAAAGCGCAATGAGGGTGTCCATTCATATCACGTATGTGTTACGAATCAACAGGACCACAAGCTATCAAAAGTGGAACAGCCTTTAGTCAGATATCATCGCTAACAAGTAACATGCAGGTATTGTTGAATTTTAGTTCATCTGTAGACTTTGCGTCCATGTAAAAGTGGTAGTACCGTGTCAACCGCGAGAGGTTGGATAGGTGAGGCCATCTGGAGACGAAAAAGAAAACCCGGAAAGCAGGAAACGTATTCTATTTCTCCGCCGATGTTCAATGGCGATAGCTATATCGCATCGACCCCTGTGCGTATACCTGAATTCTTCACTCGCCAAAACGCACCAATATAGCTAACAATAGAGCGAACATGGCTGAAGCGTGCATCCTCGGGCACCTCTGCAGTGTTGCTTGGAACGGCGTCCATTTTGGAATCACTGTTCTGCAAAAAAATGATCAAAGAAAAAATAATTCGCGATGTCTTCAATCGTGGGGCTTCCAAGCTCCAGACTATCGTATTGAACCCGAGTCGACACTTTGTACGGCAACGACAGCAATGCAGGTGACAAGGCATGACTGAATGTGTCTGCCTAGCAGACGAAATGTTTGCGGAGCAGCTTAGCCTGACGTCCCTCTTTTCTGTGGAGAAATGGTCAGCTGTGGCGTGATCTGGAGGTGACCGCGAGGTAGCGCCACTGCTGGTGCTCCCAGCGCTAAAAATGGCGGGATCGCCGGCCGTTTTGAATAGTGCTAAATACCAGTGATATAAATCAATAAAAGTGATAGTTATTCATCCCTTAGTTGCGCTTTGGGTCTCGAATCGCTGGTATGGGGTCTATAGCTACTCGCCGATGCAAAAATCTTGGAATAAGTAAATTTGATGTCAGTGCTTCTTTAAGAC